GTTTTCTTTTGTAACCAAGATTGCTGGCTCGACAGGCAACAAAGCTCTTGTATCATAGTGAGCTGCGAAAAAAAAAGAATGAACGATAGATTTAATTGCCAAATGATGTATACAAATTCAGAATGTATAGGCTGTAGTTCCGTGAGCAAACCTACGGCGATGCAAGACCACGTAGGCGGTCGGTCCCAATGACAAAAAGCCGCAACGACTCACCTAGTGTCAATGCCGAGCTTAGTTAATGTGCAATAATTTCTACATAACAACCTGGAGCCAAGCATATCACCAGGGATTAGCGTAAGAAAAAGAACAAAAAAAAGCCCACATTTATGCTAGTGTAGGCCACAACATCATCACAATAATAATAATAATAATAATAATAATAATAATGTCAATTAAGCTGGCTTTACAAGTCCACTGTTTCCAGACCGAGTTGAATTCAGAGTGTTAGTTTTTGTGGAGGGAGGAAAATCAGAGGATTCGGAGAAAAACCTCTCGCAGCAAGGACAAGAATCAATAAAAAACTAAACCCAATGCATTATCAAATCCGGGAATCGAACCCGGATCTTGGTGGTGTGAGGCGAGTGCGCTCACCACTGGGCCATCCCCCCTTCCTACATCAATTTAATTGTGTTATTTATCACCTTTACTCTTCTCCGAAACCACTCTGACTCCAATCCTACTGTCATTTCCTTCTAAACTCAAGCGAAGATATCCATACCAAACCTTGGGCGCGCCGTTGCCAAAACTGACCCACCCATCCTCTCCATTGATAGTGAAATGAACGCGGCTAGTGTTTGACTTGCGATCAACCAGGAACTCAACGCCAAGGTCACTACCACTTGTAATGTCTTTGTTGTAAAATTGAGTTAATGGCGTGATCCGGCCATAATTTGATACGGAGTCAAACGGTTTGATGAAGATTTTTCTTGACTTACTGCTGCTCCATGCCCTTAAAAACAAAAACAAAAACACTAAGAAAAAACAATAATTTGTCTTGAGCTTACAGTTTTGCAATCAAATCTGGGATCCGACTTTAACGTTAAGATTATAAGTAAAAAAGGAATTTATTTGGAAAAATATTGACTCTCCAATTCAGTACTGTTCTACGATCGACTCGTTTTCAGGCAAGTCAGAGATTTGATGTTTCTAGGTTGATTTTTACAAGGAACAGCCTTTTCATCTCAACTTGTTCTCGGAAACAGGGCTAAAAAATGAACTCTTTTTAAAAGTTACTAAGTGTCACGAATAGTTAATACTCAGCGTCAGCCCTACAGACAGGAGCTATTACAAATCTACTTCCCAAGACAATAAGATCATAAGAACATTTCTTGATAGAGATCACACGTGGAAAGCCCATGTTTGAACAAATAAGAATTTGATTTCATGTGAACTATGGAAATACTCTATGCACGTATGTAGACTGCCGGAGCTCCTTCTTATATACTCAGTTTCGGTGAACATGGCAGTCACACAAGTCACACAAGTCACACGTACGCAAACGCGCACAAACACACACACACACACACACACACGCACGCAC